CCACCAACAAGATAATTTCCATTGGACTGGGAGCCATGGCTTGAGAGCTTTAAAAAGATCAACACCTGGTTCACACCCGCAGAGATTCTGACTTAATTGGTCTGGTGTGTAGCCTGGAAAAAAGGAATTTTAAAGCACCTCAAATGATGCTAATGTAAAAATTCTTTTCTAATAAAATATTGGTTTGTAGACTGTGAGAAATACCCATGTTGCCCAAGCAAAAGATTGAAAAGATACTATAGTGAGGTCAACATCACAGTTTTCTTGGTGTCTGCTTATCTATTCAGACTCTAACATGCTTGATTATATCATATAAAATTGTTTCCATGATGGACAATGGAAAAGTTTGGGAGGGAATCAAGATCCTTGGTGATTCTTTCCTGGTATGAGCTGGAGTTTCATGTTAGAGGAATTTCATCCTTGATTTATTACGTAGCATAATTTTTATGATGCTGTTTATTTGTTTCAAATATATGACATAGCATCATACTTTTTGGTTAGCTAAAGAAAATCATATTGAATTTAAATAATTCAAAAAGTAGACAATTCAATTGCATGCATTTTCTGTTTTGTAGAAGTAAATGTTCCATAGATCTCAAAGAGAAGTGAGAACTGTGAACTTTGCCTGTGAACTGTGTAGAAGAGACCCTTCTCTGTTCCATATGTTTAGAAATCCTATCTACATGAGGTACAAGTGGTAGTTATAAAGAAGGAAGTGACTCCAGAATTTACCTAGCTCTGCGGTTTTATTTTACAGATTAAAAAAAAGTGAGGTTCTTGATAATGAGTGATTTGTCCCTATTAGGAGATGGCAAAACCAGAAAGAGAACTCCTACCCATATTCTAGCCTAGGATGTCTTCTCCTATACCATCAGAGTCCTACACGTTCTCCTCCCCTTCCTGTGAAACATCCATTCTGGCGTTTTTACTTGTCAAGAATTTTGGTGCAACATGATACATACTTATGTGTCTTAAATGATAGTTCTTGAATGCTAAGGTATCTGTATATTATATATACGTCCTGATTTAGAAGGTGATGAGTCAGTACAGGCTTACTTGCATTTCTGTATAACCAGCTTCCAAAGTAAATATGTTGATCACATCTTTGGTTGATTATTATGGTCTTCTACTGCTGTTATACTAATACTTTTCCCATCTCCAACTGGCTTTACTTTTTGCAGCTTTGAGCAGTAATTCAGTCCCCTACGCCTCCCTGATTGGCTCTGTGTCCTCCCTCTCTAGCCAAACCACCACTCAGTCCATATATGATAATAACTCTCTCCCACGATTCGCTCGAAAAGGTCTAAACATCTTTGTCTCTTTATTTTCTCTGTTGAAGCACTGTAATGGATGTCCACATCATTCCATTTCCATTTCCAGATAAGCCTAGAGTCTCTTGTGCCTTCGCATTTCCATTGTTGTCATTGGGGGTGCCTCATCTGGATAAGATCACTTTAATTATTAGACCACTGTCACCCATCTCCTCCCTCTACAAAATGTAAATTAGTTCAATTCTACCATCTATTTGGAAAAGTTCCAGAAATGGCCTCCAACATTTTGATCCAAATACACAATTATATCAGCAACAAAGAATTTCTACTTCTAAGCCAACTCATTTTTATTGGATCTTCCACCAAGATTTTAGTTGACTGGAAGCCATAAATGCTAAAACACCACCTATCATACCCCTGTGCAAAAATGATGAAATTGTCTAGAAGAAGCAAAATAGTTTTTTACTTACCAGAAGTATTGATAATTTGGCATTTGAGATACAGGAACTTACTGGGTGGCTTTCAGTAATGGCACAATTCCTAAGATGCCCATAAAGTAATCACATGTCATGTTGACTTAATGGTCACCATTCCATAGCCTAACACCTTCCAGAGAGTCTCAGGACAGCAGAATGTCAACATGGCCTCCAGTTTGAGCTCCTCCCCCATTCCTTTTCAGTTTCAGAGGCTTCCCTGGGGGCATGCTAGTTCAAGTTTTTCTAGCCAGCTGGAATTTGTATCCATAAGACATGAGTCAGCGATGCTCTCTCATGGTACTTATAAAAAATTCATCACAAAGAAATAAAATGTAAATCACATGAAAAGCGAGAAAACATTGGAAAGACCCAGGAATCACCAAATTAGTGATAGATTATTTTTAACGGAATCTGTGAAACTAATCTCACTTCAGCTGGCAGACGGAACTAAGACGTGCCGCCCCTGTCACTGCTTTCTTTCTTTTTCCATCCTCTTTCACTCCTTGTCCTTTGACCATTTGCTCACTCTCTTGCATTCATTTCCCATTCATGGACAAAGATGTTTACACCTGAAGTAGATTGTAGGTTTGCTGGGAGTTGAAACTTGGGGACCTGGGGCAAATACCATAAAGCTGTTAGTGTGTGGCCATTTATAAATGTCCAGGTGAAGGCCACGGCCCCAACCTCTACAATCTGCTACTAGTGGAAACATTTTTGAAACTCAGTTTGGTGTCTGATTTTGTCATCAGTGATTATCGTCTATGAACTGTGGTGCATGCCATTCTTTGTGCCCATGTTTGCATGTGAATGTCAATCACCTTCAGGTATGTGAACTATTAAAGCGATCTTAATCAAGTCACAATGTATAGTGAATCCTGTAAAAACATGTAGTGTTTTTATCAGTCCTTTGCAAAAGTATATCAGACTATCCATTTCATTTTTTTTAACAAATCCGTTCTATTTTATTTTATTTACATCATCATTTCCTTTGCAGGTTCAGATGATTCCGGTTACCCTGGTAACCTTCATTCTTCAAGTTAGTTTTCCTTGATTATGCATAAGTCACTTTATGTTTCCTATCAAGCTACTACTCTTTCCCTTTTAGGCCTTTCTCAGTGTCTGTTTTCTTAGTTCACTTTACACCATTTAATTCCACACGATTTCCATTTCATACAGTGCAGGAGAAGGAGTTTGAAATGACATAACAGTCATTACTCAAAGCAGAAGTTGACATCAAGCCTGACTGTCAGTTTTCTCCGCTAGCTAACTGCATTAATTCATAGCACAATAACGCTTTCTTTTACACTAGGAGTGTTAGTTTGGGGATCATGCTTGGTGACTTTTCATTTGGCTACAAAATTCATCCTTCCAGAGCATGTCCTGCTTTGAGTAACCAAACTATCTGCCTGCTTCCTCACATTAAACATCTTTACTACTCACATGTCTTCAGGCCATTTCTAACTATAGTATTCTCTATATTTTGGAATAGTTAGCATCGTTTTCATTTGTTTTCAAATGTGTTTCTTCTTTCCTTTTAATAGGTATGGCTAGTCATCCTCCAATTCCTATCTTGGAACTTGCAGATCACATTGAAAGGTTGAAAGCAAATGACAACTTGAAGTTTTCCCAGGAATATGAGGTATTTCAGTGTGTTTATACTTGACAGTAATTTCAAGAATTGCCCCCCTCTTCTTTTTGACCGTATTCTTAAAAAAATAACTTCATCAGTGCTTTTTCTTGTAAATACGACCCCAAATAGGATATAAAAGTTGACAACAAATAGGTGACTGAAAAGTGTCTGTACAATCAATATAGTAGTTGCCCTTTTAAAAGGTGTTTATATTCGGTGTTAATGAGGTTGATTTTTCTTTTCTGGTTTTAAGTTCATATACTATATTGTATTGATAAGCTTCCTCGTATATCAGATAGGTGCCAAATATATTGATTCATGGCCAGAGGCCTCCCTGAAAAAGCATGATGACAGGGAGTAAGTTGATATTTTTCCATACACTTAGTTTTCCATGGCCTGAAAACCCTTTAATTATGTCCATGTTCATGTCCATGTCCATGTGTGTATACATGATTTTACCCTTCAGCCTTAAAATAATGCTAGAGTTAATATTAAGATAGCCATATGTTCCTGGAATATTGCCTATTTTTGAAACAATGGTGAACTGAATAGTATCTTAAAATTTCAGAATCCTTATAGTTTCTGTGTGAATGCTTGATGAAAGTGAATGAAGAGTCTTTGTATATTTGTGTATATTTGGATATTGTGGTATTTATCAAGCAGAAAGTTTTAAAATTGAATTTTCTGATATTCCCCAGCAACAGGGACTCATACTGAAACCAACTCATGAATTGATAACTGAACCATCATTATTCTTTTAAGCCAAGTTTGACTTAGCATAAGATTAAAAAGTACAACTCAAGCCTTATTGTGCCAAATAACAACAGATTGTTGGGTGCCTGAGCAGTCCAAATACCACCATGAAGAGTTTCTACTGATTTACCCAATGGGAATCTTAAAACACATCCCTGTTATCTCTCTTGGTTTCTGTTGTATCAACTCTTTTCTTTCTCAATATTTTATTTAAATTCCATTTAGCTAACATACAGTTTACTGTTAGGTTTAGGTGTAGAATTTAGTGATTCATCACTTACCTACAATACCCGGAGCTCATCACAAGTGCTTATTGTATCAACTTTAAATGCAGCTGTTGGACTAGACGAGCTCTCAGTCCCTACCAGTCCTAAGATTCTGTCCTTTCAGTGAGAACTTCTAAAAGGGGCCCCAAGCTCTAGTGACTACATGGATATTAACTACATGAAGAAGCTCCATGTAAGAGAATGTGGAGCAGTGGGATCTGTGGTAATCTGGATATTTGCATGGACTTTCTGAAGTCTTCAAATCTTTAGTTTTTGATTATTTTAAATTACTATGCTGACTCAATAAAATGTGCCCCATGGTCCTCCAGCTTTAAACCACTAGCAATATTTGCATCACTCAAACAATCTCAGTTGTATCCATGGTCTACAGTAACCAGCCTCCTTTAAAGTGGAATTTCTCTAGAAATACTACATGTAAAGATACTATAATAATACTCATTGAGCCATTAGATCAGAAGTGCTCCTTGAAAGTAGTTATGAACTGCATGCTGCCAATGTTCCCATTAAAAACTCCCCTAGTAGCCGTTGACATGATAGCCCACATTGACTTTTCACCATTTATCATGACGATGGTCTATGATTAAAGCTCCCTGGGCATGAATTGACTCTACTGTGCCTTAACAGCCATGAAGGAGATAGTTAAGTGTTGTATTCATCTGTGATAATAGGATAAAGACCTCTATGTAATATTTTAGGCCACAGAGCAACATTATGAAAAAAAAAATTATTTTACTTGTTATCTTTCATACAAACTTGAATAGATTTTTTTTACTAGCTTATAGTAAAGAACATGAAAGAAAAACAAGGCACATTACCTTCAAACATCTAATTATTTTGGCACAATCACTATGAATTAATGATTACTCAGACTTCTCAAGAGGCATGAAACAAAATCTCTGACTCTAACACTGAAACAGAGGTTGAAGACATGGAAGCTGTTTGTACTTATTCTGAGGTCAGAATAGGAGGAAGTAGGTTTAGATTATGGCCCAGTGTTTTTATATCATGTGAGAGACTTCCTTTATTATAAAGAAAATTGGGCTCAGACATTGGATTTAATGATAGCTGGAGGAAGGGACCTGAGAAATTAGTAGCAAGAGCACTGTATATTAAAAATAATAATAAATACTTACAGTTTTCAGTTTCTGATATGAGACTGTAAAGTTTTACTTGAACTTAAGTAGCCATGATTTGAGGATGGCATATAGAATGCAGGGAATAAAGTTCTCCTGAAAGTTGGTATCACTCTCAAAGCCATCACATTAGCTGGTGAATCTTTAGACTGATACAGAATAGTATGTATAGATCTTACCAGACAAAGTCTTAGCTAATGACTGTGAAAATTTTGGAAGTCTAATTAAAATTCATATTCTTGGTCCCAGCACCAGAAATGCTGGTTTAGTAGGTCAGCCATGATAACCAGGAATGTCTGTTTTATTTTTTTTTTAAGTTTCATTGAGTTGTAATTGACATATAACATTGTACTAATTTGTAGTATACAACATAATGATTTGATATATGTATATATTACAATATGATTACCATAATTAGTTGAGTTAACATCTATCACCTTACATTTTTCTTATAGGAACTTTTAAGATCTACCTTTTAGCAACTTTCAAATATAAAATATTGTTAACTATAGTCATCATGTTGTATATTACACCTCTGGGACCTATTTATAACTAGAAATTTGTAGCTTTTAACCACCTTTAACATTTTCCCCATCTCCCACCTGTCCTCTATTTCTATAAATTTGTTTTTTTAAGATTCCACATATAAGTGAGATCATACAGTGCTTATCCTTGTCTGTCTGGCTTATTTCATTTAGTATATTGCCCTCAAGTTCCATCCATGTTGTCACAAATGGCAGAATTTCCTTCTTTCTTTATGACTGAATAATAACCCAGTGCATATACATGCAATGACCTGAGCTGAAGTTGCACGCTTTACCAACTGAGCCACCCAGGCGCCCCTGTTTGTTTTTTGATACTTAGTTGTATGAGTTCTTTGTACACTTTGGATAGTGACTCCTTATTAGATATATAATTTGCAAATATTTTCTCCCAGGGAATGTCCATTTTAAAAGAGCACTTCAGGGGACTTTGATGCAGGTGCTCTGAAGACTTCAATTTAAGAAACATTATTGGTTTAGGATAATATATGACAGAGCATCATCCTCCAGCCTTCATTTCACCATCCCCTGAAATGGCAAATAAACCAATGTATAAGATTCATTTGACAGGCATCACAGTCGACATTACCATTATCAATATCATAGACATAAATCCTATTTGTAGTAGACTCATTGTAAGTCACTACAGCTCCTACAGTCTGCTTAAGGGGGGAAAAGAGGACTTAGCTTTATTTATTATAAATTATCTACTTATTATGAATTTATTTTTTAGAAATTGTCTATTATAGAGCCAAATGCTAAAAATGTAGCTATGCTTCAAACACTGTTGTCTCTAACTGAGGTATTTTGGAGATCACCCGACATCCTCTTTAAAATTTTTATTTTTGTACTTTTATCTGGACTGACTGCATTCTTCCCATTGCATGTGCCAACTTCTTTTGTTTCTCCCACCCATGTATAGAAAATGTGGCCTTTGATCATATTTTCATTAACAGAGAGTCCCCCCTAAAGAGGCAACAATTTTCTTTCCAGTAAAATTCCAAATGTAAGAGAACAAACTCTGAACTCCAATTGACTCATTTTGTTGTGGAGACAAACATGAGGACATAGCTGCTAGCAGTGCACCTATTTAGATCTTGCTTCTTCCTTCAGTTCAAAAAAAGGAAGTTACTATGGAAAGGGGCTTGTGAGCTTGGAGGAGGAACCAGTAATTATCCACCATACTACCACAGGAAAGCACTATGCTGAGTTCTGAGAGGAATGTAGAATTTATAAGAAACCTTTACTTCCAGGAAGTCTAGCAGGCAAAATTAATGTATACATGCAAAAATAATAAAAAGAATACCAAGTTGCTAATTCGAAATACTAATGGAATGCTTTTGGGATTTAGTAAAGATCAGAGTGAGATGAGAAACTGGGCAAGGTATTGAAGAAAAGGTGGTACCAGTAGTGGAGCTAAGAAGAAAAGGAGTGAAGAAGAGTATTTTGTGGTAGGAAGGATCAAAGGCACTTTCAAGGATGCTCTGGACTTTTACATTCAAAGTGTGGACTACAGAACAGCAACATTAGCATCCCTGGGAGCTTATTAGAAATGCAGATTTTTAGGCAGTATCCGAAACATACTGAATCAGAATCTGCATTTTAACAAGGCATCCTGGTGATAAGTTTGTATAAGTATATTTGGAGGTGGGGGAAGCACTAAGTACACGTGTTATGATGGATCAAATTGTTTCTGGTGGGGAGTTGGGTGAAATGAAGTCAGGCAATGAACAGGGCCAAGAATTGTAATGAGCATTCATTGCCAGACACCATTGGCAAGGCTGGGGTGGATTGATGGTGGAAAGAATATGGACTTTGGACTCAGACAAATTTGTATTCTGATTTGAACACTTGGTATGGCTGTAACCTTGCATAATAATATAACCCTATGAGTTTCTCATGTGTAAAATGTGTTACTATGAGAATTAGAGAATATGTATGCATATTTGTATGAATTTCAAGACACACTTGTAGGGTGTGTGTGTGTGTGTGTGTAAAATAAGGGGCTGAATAATGGTAGCTGAAAGGTTGCACTAATTTTACGTAGCCAGTGAAAGATTTTATAGTGAAGTAATTGTTTGTATTTACTTATAAATTAATAGTGTTAAGCTCCTATCATACCTACCATCAAGTACTGTACTTTCTCATTGAACAGGCCTGTCAGTGCAAAATTATAATAAAATATAATCAGTCCTATGCCCAAAGTTCTTCAAAGTATGATGAAAATACAGAGCACACTTACGTGGTGGTTTCTTAGGAAATTAATCTGTCATCCATGTACATAATGGAAAAAA